TTCTTAGTTTATTATTATAAAATTATAATAAAAGCTGAAATAAAAGCATTTTATCAGCTGCTTTTGATAAGACGCCGCCTGATGTTTGAAATAATGAAGTTAATGTCATGAAAGCTGAACACGATTTATAAAAGTAATTTGTCCGCCATATTAGATTGCTTTCTCTCTATATCTGAGGTTAAGTATAAAGCCGCTTTCTTGGTCATGCTTTTTTTTTAGTGTAATCAATCGTCACCGGTGTAGACGGACGTTTATACAACACTCTGTAGAGACAAACATAGGTAATCAAAGATTACGAAGCTCACCTCGACGAATGTTATCAGTTTAAGTACTGCAAATCTCACATCATATTTTCTTAATATTAAGTATTCATCCCAACAACAATATTCTTGCAAGTTGTGTTTAACCCCTTACATGGTTAATATACACATTTCTACGCGTGTAGCATGAAAAACATGTATAGTGTAAACAAATATTCATAACTTTGTTAATACTGCAGATATCAAGGACTAAAAGTTCATTCGGATTGATCTGTTCCCAAAACTTTAACCTGGTCTCTTGTATAAAAAATATATAGATCAGATCCAGCATTCGAAGCAAGTCTGGTAGTGTCCGTCCCTAGATACATCATCCATGCAAGTTTGGTTTAGCTAAGGCATATAGTTACTTGGGAATGAAAATGTAGGTCAGATCCAGCATCCGAAACAAGTCTGGTAGTGTCCATCCCTAGATACATCATCCATGTAAGTTTGGTTTAGCTAGGGCTTATAGTTACTTGGGAATGAAAATGTAGGTCAGATCCAGCATCCCAAGCTAGTCTGTTAGTTCCCATCCCTAGATACATCATCCATGCAAGTTTGGTTCATGTAGGGCTTATAGTTACTTGAGAATGAAAATGTAGGTCAGATCCAGCATCCAAAGCAAGTCTGATAGTGTCCATCCCTAGATGCATCATCCATGCAAGTTTGGTCCAAATAGGGCTTATTGTTACTTGGGAATGAAAATGTAGGTCAGATCCAGCATCCGAAGCTAGTCTGGTAGTGTCCATCCCCAGATATATCATCAATGCAAGTTTGGTTCAGGTAGGGCTTATAGTTACTTGGGAATGAAAATGTAGGTCAGATCCAGCATCCGAAGCAAGTCTGGTAGTGTCCATCCCTAGATGCATCATCCATGCAAGTTTGGTCCAAATAGGACTTATAGTTACTTGGGAATGAAAATGTAGGTCAGATCCAGCATCCGAAGCTAGTCTGGTAGTGTCCATCCCTAGATATATCATCAATGCAAGTTTGGTTCAGGTAGGGCTTATAGTTACTTGGGAATGAAAATGTAGGTCAGATCCAGCATCCGAAGCAAGTCTGGTAGTGTCAATCCCTAGATGCATCATCCATGCAAGTTTGGTCCAAATAGGGCTTATAGTTCCTGAGGAATGGACCTGCTCCAAAAACTTTAACCTGGCCACTCATCTGGAAAATGTAGGTCAGATCCAGCATCCGAAGCAAGTATTGTAGTGTCCATCGTGATCCCTAGATGCATCATCCATGCAAGTTTGGTCCAGGTAGGGCTTATAGTTCCTTGGGAATAGACCTGCTCCAAAAACTTTAACCTGGTCACTCATCTGGAAAATGTAGGTCAGATCCAGCATCCGAAGCAAGTTTGGCAGTGTACATCCCTAGATGCATCATCCATGCAAGTTTGGTCCGGGTAGTGCTTATAATTTCTTTGGGAATGGACCTGCTCCAAAAACTTTAACCTGGTCACTCATCTAGAAAATGTAGGTCAGATCCAGCATCCGAAGCAATTCTGGTAGTGTGCATCCCTACATGCATCATGCATGCAACATTGGTTCAGGTAGGGCTTATAGTTACTTGGGAATGGACTTGCTCCTAAAACTTTAACCTGGGACGCCGACGCTAACGCCGACGCCGACGCCAACGCCGGGGGTATAGCATAAGCTCATCACGACTTCGTCGAGGTGAGCTAAAAAATACTTGTGTACATCTTTATTGCAGGAGAATAAGATACCAAAGAAACTTACAACAGTTGCACAGGTTAGTGCAGTACACAAACAAACAAAAATACACGTAGCTACAATAAAATGTAAACAGGTAATGCAAGATAACTAGCACGAACACGTGTCGCCATTCCACGCCGATACCCGTGACAATAGAGCAGTCAGGTGTAACGAATGCGAGGAGTATATATCCTCGTGAAAGATCGTGAAAAGGGAGGGTTGTAATGGCGTCCACCATATACATTCGAGGTCGTTTTTCCGCTAGTCGGAAAGGCCCGAGAAGTTGCGATTTGATCTTTGAAATAAATGCATGGAGACCTTTTTTCTGTGGAATATGGAGTGTAACTTTATTCAATGTAATGATATTACCTAAAATAAACTATTGAAGAGGCTTCTAACTCTGTCTATCCTTTATTTGAATAAACAGGAAATGTATAAATTTTTAACATCCGGTGATGTTAATACATTCGAGGTTGTTTTACCGACCTCTGACGGAAAGACCCGAGATGTGCCGAGATAGTATTATCGAAAATGGCACGATTCCTATTCACAAGTTATGTTCAGCTTTAATGATATAGATGTTAGGCTGGTATTGTAATGTATTGATTCTTTGAAAATCTGCTATAACTTCTGGGTATTTTCATAAAGCAGATACGCTTAGTACATGATTATAGTGAGGCGCATCCGACACCTAAAATTATAAAATTTGAAGCTCCAGGGTCATAAATTATGTTCTTGCTTATTTGTGGAAGCTGATGTGTATATGATCTTAACTTATAAACTTATTGCAATCAGGCAGGTTCGATCATCGATAGCTATAAGAGCGGTTATTAACCTGACAAGCAATTTGAGGGGCCCAGCTTGTTCTGTCCCATTTAATATTTGCTAAAGTTCAATGGCAGCGACAGATGGAATACATACATGTATCTGGGTTTTGATTTAAGAAGTTGTTGGTTGGATCAATAGGTGCCAGATTCATTGAAGCTCATTTGGTAAAGCGCCTTATTGTTTCAAGGAGCCTAGGCTCTCAACCCTGTCCAGTCCGTCGGATTCTTCTTTTTCCTGATTATCGATAAGAATTAGTTGAATGTTGTTTAACGTCCCTCTCTAGGAGAATTTTTCACTCATCTGGAGACGCCACCACTTGCCGGTGGAGAGCTACATTTTTGTCCTATGCTCAGTACTCAAGGCCAGTGAGCAGTGAGAGATATTTTTTCAAGCCAGCACCTACCGTGACACGGGGCCTCAGTTCATACGTTCTCGTCCGAAGGACCGGTCTTCACAACCCACGGTGGGATTTGAACCGCGACGTAAGGATCGACTCCATACCTCGCATTTCTTGAGCAGACACTCTAACCACTGCGCCACACGGGCGACTTCCAGCTAAGGAGTACTGATTAAAATCAGATCCTTTGATCCGCTCACATAGATCGGTACTCGTCATTAAGATAAAAGATTGCAAAAAAAATCCGCTTATGTCGCTTATTTAAATTTTCAAATAAACATTCAGTATAAACGTTTATCAAATGTCTACACAGAGCACTACTTACAATATTCAGGCCAAATAAAATATATGTACATTTCCGAACCTTAATGTAACAGCCAAAATAAAAAAAGGTTTTTAAGTAGGTTGGCAATAATTTGTTATAGATTTACTTTTTCTTCTGAAAGAATCAACAAGTTCCTTTTTGGTATATACATATGCATACATAATTATGTATGAAATTAAACAATCATACACAACATATCAGGTCAACTCTTTAAAACATTTGGATATACATGTACATGTTCTTTACATTGCCTTAAATGTGCCTTTTATTGACTGCACTCTAAGAAAACAGTACTATAAATGAACAAAATTATAGCTGAAAAATTGAATTTGGAATTAACAGAAATAGTGTTGGTGTGTGATTAGTCAGGAAACACATATACTTTTTTGGCCTCATGGTAATGATGTTCTAAACATAAAGTGTCCTTCCCTGTGGTACAATAAAAACTTTAAAACTAGCATACATAAACTCCATATCTAGGGTGACACAATAAAGCTTCTAAAACAAAGCCTGCTTTATCAACATCCAGAAATATGACCTAAGACCTTGCAGAGACAAAATTAAATTTTGCTATAAATCAATATATACACTGATGATATACATGTATTTTACTCTTCACAATGCTTCACAAATATTCTCACCAGTAACTTTGCATATTCATTATGTTAAGATCAAAAGTTTGTCAAGTTGTTCAGGATATTTACCTAAGAGTACATGTAAAATTAAGCTTTTTTTAATTTTAAGCAACAAAAATGAACACACATTATTTACGGTACAATATCTCACAAAAATAGCAAAAACAAGAATTGTAATGACCCTTTTTTTTAAACCAATATTTGTGTTGTTTTTTTTTTTTTGGTTGTTTTTTGCCAAGTTGGTATTTGTATTAATGATGAGAAATTTTAAATAGGATAAATATTTATCATTAAAAATATTTGTAACAGAATATTTAAATTTAAAAGAAAAAATAACCTATCCACCTTAGAGATCTACGAAACTAAAATCATATGTAATCTTAAAATGAACTTCTTTTGGCATTATTAATCCAGTACTAATTTTATGTAATTTTCGTGTTATGATCTTTTCCTTCAGAGATTTAATTATACACAGGTTCAGTTTACTGATAACCAAAAAATATTTTCATTTTAGCTTTTGTTTGTTTGTATTTTTGAATGAACCACTCCTAAAGTCAAAAAGTAAATTTGTGCATCCCTTACTACATGATAGGCAGAATAACTATGCTGTCTTGTTTCCCCATTTCAAGCAAAAGAAAGGTCACAATTCTTTACATATATGTATGTTTACACAAATGGTTCTTTTGCAATAAATACACATTTACCTTGAACATACATAAACATGATCTGTTGAAATAGAACAAATCTAAAAATATTTGGATTTCTTGATCAAAGATCTCAAAAAATATAATATATAAAATGCTCTTATTGTCTTTCATTGCTTAAGAAATTGTCTGTCCTTCAGTACCAATTCTGCTGGGAGAATTGAGGAAACCTGTCCAAGCATCTATCTTTCCCTTTAGAATTCCAGTTATTACTGACTTGATACGCTTTTGGCAGAGGCTTCCTGTAGCTGTTGTAATGTTCTCTTTCCTGGTAAATTGGGGACAAGTTTCTATTGTAGTAGGTAGAGTGCATTGCAGTGCTTGGCAATACCTTAAACTCTTTGTCCTCCAAGTCAACATTTGGTGAGTTAGACCTACTGTCCTCTCTTAACACAGCTCCAGTTTTTCCACGAGACACACTTACTCCATTTGGAGAATTTTTCTTCACATCTTTCAGTTTTGCATCATACCTCTGTGATGTTTGACGCCTTTCTTCACCATTATCCTTGAATGTTCTTGATGCTTTGTATTCACCCTTAGTTTTTTGAAACTGTTCTCTTTTTGTCTCACTACTTTTATGATAAATTCTCTCAGTGTTGTTAGACTGTTGCCGACATCTGTTCTTTAGTCTGGGATCATTGAAATTCGGCGGTATTTCTGTTTTTATTCCAGAATGCCCATATTCAAAACACTGTTTGCTCACTGCTCCAGAAATTCTCACATCCTCCACAAGTCGAGAAACAGCTGCTTTGAGAGTGGCATTGTTGCTATCCTCCACCCCTTGTTTATTGACCTCCAATGACCTTGAGTCAACTTTTTTATCTGCTACAGTTTTGACTTCTGGATGTTGTTCCCCTTCACTATTAGGATTTTTTGATTTTGTTAACTTCTCCTTACGTCTTTCATCCCTTTCCTTTATTGTGCTTGCACTTAATCTCTCTTGTTCTCTCTTCTTCAGTTGTGACTGTCTTTCATCTACCAACATCCTTGTGTAGTCCAAAAGCCAGTCTTTATGCCACATGAGAACTTTATATTCTACAATTTGGTTTTCTTTTCCATAATTTGGCCGTAGCAATCTTGGATCAGTTGGGGATTCTTTGTCATGCCTCTCAATAATATTCTTTGGGATGTGGCGAGGATTTACACCCCCTTTTAATAGAGTTCTGCCCTCAAAGAGCATCAAATTATTCAGATCTGAGCAAGTGGATGATGGTGTTGACTCCCCTTGCTGGATGTTAGAATGATAACCATTGACTCTATTGTTCATCAAATTATTGTCTGTGCATCTATCAAAAGAGTCCACCATTTTCTGACTTTCCTTCTGCATCTCCTGATCTATGGTGTATCTCTTCTTTGGAGGAACACTGTTCTGTTCAGCATAAAAGAATGGCCTTTTGATAGCTTCTGAGCTCCCAATTTTATTATTAGTTTGAATTGGTTTGCATTTTATATCATTGTAGGATGACCTTGGTGCATGAACTTGCTGCTGCTCTTTATTTAGAACATTACAATCTTGTCTTGAGAAAGAGTTCATTTTTTCTCTGTAGCTCTCTCGTCCTACAGCATTTTGCATCAGACTGATACTCTCTTCATATGGCTTGATGACATTTACATCTTTATTGAGAGGAATAGAACCATGGCTGTTTTTCTGAACTGCATCCTCTGATACTGGACGATAGGTAACTTGCTTGTTATTGAAATCTGGTTCCGAGAGAGTTTGATCCACAAATCCAATTTTCACATTTACTTTTAAATTGTTGTACTTTCTGTGCAGTGTTCCTCTCTCAAAGTCAATGAGCTCCTGGTTTAATGGATGGACACTTGCTCCACATTCATCCTGCTGTGGATTTTTCAGCCCTGTCTCCATTCTAGCGATAGATCCAAATCTCTCAGAGAGCAACTTCTTGGGTTTCTTTACATTCCCAATTCGAGTGGATTTTTTTCTTTCTTGCTCTGCACCCATAGTTTGGCTAGACAATATTTGACCATTTGATTGTAATGCCATCACCTAAAAAATTGTTCAAATATTTATTATTTCATAATATAAACTAAACTAATATCAATCTTTAACTTGTTCATTTTTAAATTTATTTCAATATTTGTCCAAAAATAAAAATTCAGTGAAAAATATTTCATTTCATATGATTAACTGTTTACAGAATGTTTGGCAAAATGAAACAATTCTATTGCTTATTGTTCTAAAATTTGTAAGACATTGAATTAACAGTGGTTAGGTTAATCATTATAAAATGTGTTAAGCTTTATGGGGATGCAACTTTTTAATTCTTCCTGCTGTCAGCGTACAAGCATTTGGTAATGCTTATTTTCACTGAGCAAGAATTTAGAATTCAGTACATGATTTCCATCCTATAACCATGCATGTTTACTACGTTATAGGGTAATAAAAAAAAAGTTAAATAAAGTAACTGTATTTGTAAGAAAACCATATCTAAAGATTATTTCAAGCCACAATATTAGGATACAGAAATTTAAGACTTTTCTGCTTCAAGAAATTATAATCTGGATGACTAAATAACTTTTGTTTCCACTTGACCTTTATATCCCAGGTTTGAATCTCTGAAAACATGGTATAAAAACTGAGGCCCCAAATTCCCTCAGAGCTCACCATACATGTTGAGTACAGATCTAAATAAGAAGGCCTTTACCAGCAAACGGCTGCATCTTGATAGGAGTCAAAATTCTCAACGGAACATTAAACAATCTTTTCTTCCTCACGTTTCAAAATAAATTTACAAATCACTTCTCCAATTGACTTTGCAAGTACTTATGTGTGGGTCTTGATTATAATGATTGCATATTTGGACCCTCCAACAATGCCTTGCTAGTCCAAATGATACTCTAGTTGTTCATATCAATGGAAAACTACACAGAACAATACACACAAATTATTTTTTCTTATTTTGTTCACTGTGGGTATAATACATTTAGCTGTATATTCTTATTAGAGCCAGTCGCCCGCGTGGCGCAGTGGTTAGAGTATCTGCTCTAGAGTCGCAAAGTAAGGAGTCAATCCTTATGTCGCCGGTTCGAATCACACTGTGGGACATGGAGTTCGGTCCTTCGGATCAGACCATATAAACCCAGGTCCCGTGTCACAGTAGGTGCTGGCACGAAAAAAGATCCCTCCCTGCTCAATGGCCCTGAGTGCGGAGTATAGGACTAAATTTGCTGCTCTCCACCGGCAAGTGGTGGCATCTCCATCTGAGTGAAAAATTCTCAAGAGGGATGTTAAACAACATTCAATCAATCAATCTTATTAGAGCCTTTCAAACAAAGCAACTTTGCTCCAATCTTATGTTTGCATATTTATATAAAAAAAACTTTCCGATTTATCCTAACTTGCTGGAAAATGGATTTCTACCAAATACCATACATGCCAAATAAAATAATTTACAATATCCAACATCAGCTACACCAAACTGAAAATGCCACTTTAAAGCTGAACATGAATCATGAAAGGAATTTGTCCCACAGATCATCCAGTCCAGTAAGTCTCTCGCTTTATCTCGGGGCCGTTCGGTATAAAGCCGCTCACTTATTCACTTTTCAGTGTAATTAATGAACACCAGTGTAGACAGATGTATACTAGACAGCATTCTGTAGCGACGAAAAAATAACTCTGCACTTCTTCTAATGCTGGCGGTAAGATACCAAAGAAACTTACAACAGTTGCACAGGTCAGCCCCCCCCAAATTGATTTGACTGTTAAAAATTATTTTACAAACTTTAAGTCCACAAAAATTTACGTTTTTGAACTAATTATACAGAGAAGCATGTTTATACCTTATGCCAAACCCGACTGAATGACGATCCCGACCGAAAAACAAACCAAACCGAAAGTAGAGATTTTGTACAGTGTATCGAACCGAGAAAAAAATACCGCGGTGAATCATTTCACTCCTAATCCAAACAACAATTTAAAATGAACCATCCTCAGTTTACTCCATTATTCATGGAAAAAAAGATATGAATCGGATGTTTTTTTTTTTAAAACTAAGAAACAATTATTCAAGTCACAGTTACATACAGGAACAACCTCTACCTTCATGTATCATATTTTTCTACAATAAAATTAATTTTTACTTCAGTCTGTACAAGACCTATAAATGGACCAGAGTGGTGAAAGTCTATTGATACTTTTGGCAAGGCTGGTTGGTAAACAAAACTGTCTGAATTGACAAATCAGTGTTTTCAATAAGATTTTCAATAGAAGGAAAAATAGATGGAATAGCAGGAAACCAGTCTCGGCGAGGGGTCTGGGGGCCGCCTTAGGCCCCCAGCGGGTCCAGGGCAGAGCCCTGGTAGGGGGCCCAGGGGGGGCTTCGCCCCCCGGCCGGAAACGAAAATCAGCATTTTTGACTCATTTTTCTGACCTCTCAGGCCATTAAAAAAGTAATTTTTTTTCACATTCTTGTCAGTATCAATTATCAAATTTTACCTAAAAAAGCCAATTAAATTTTTTTTACCTTTTTACAGATTTGTTTGACAAGATCTTTGACAGACTGGGTTTTTTTCTTCTGAAAACTATGTGTCTATAAAAACATATGAACAACTTAAGTATGAAATTCTAGTACAGACAATTGTCTGTGGTAGAATATCATATTTAAAATTCTACATATTTAGTCCCTTTCACATAAATTGGTCAGGACTTTTATTCAAAACTCAAATAATTATTTGGTTGAAAATTTTAGATTTTTTAAACACTTGGTCATGTACAGTACCCCCCAAAAATTGAAATATTCTGCAATCTTAGACTTTTCATAAATTAATCTTTAAACTGATCTACGTTTTTGACATTTTGTGCAGATAGTCAGAACAAAATATATAGAAAATGGTATTTGATACAAAATACTAGTACATTAAAACCTTCCCAAATGTGAAAATGATACTGTTCCTGTATTTCAAGAGTTCTTAGACGGATAAAAGAGAATATTTTTTTTCAATTTCAGTTTGTGGAAATGCTGTAAGAATTTCTATGTCTGAGTCACGATTAAAATATTAAGACTTTTATTCGTAATTATTATATCAGGTTAACATTTGAGATTTTCAGTTTGCGGAAATTCTGTAAGAATTAGAATGGATACATGATCAATTTTCAATCGAAAATTATAAAACACAAACAAATCTTTTCGGAAGGGACTATTCTTTATGCCTCTTAATGTATGTGATCTCAAACGCATGTGTTAAAGCAGCAGCACATTTCTCCACAACTTCGCTCAAATATTCGTTGTCCGCGACGCCATTACCTGACACTATCGATCTAATCAAACTTCCTTGAAAAAAGAGCGCACTCAAGGGAAGCTACTCTAGATCATGGAAATAGTTGTGATAAAATCTATGGATTTCGCGTATCAGCACCGGCAAAATCCTAATGACGGAAAATTCATAGCCGGCAAAATTACTCGTACAGGCGGTTAATTTTGCCGGTTGCCGGCTCTTATTGAAAACACTGCAAATGTACAGAAAATGCCATATCAAATGAGGGTTGAAAAAATCAGGCATGATGCAACTTCTGCAAAGATCATGATCAGGATGCACAGATGAAGGTCAGAAAAAAGAAAAGAGATGGCACGTGGTGATGGAGGTAATACAGACTCATCAAGCAAAGACGTATTATATTCTTTATGTCTCTGACTACTGATGTCACCTGCATGGCGCACTGGTTGAGTCACAAAGTAAGGAATCGATCCTTATGTAGCGTATTTGAATCCCACGGTGAGATGTGGAGATCGGTCCTTCTGATGAGACAGTATCAATTGAGGTCCCATGTCGCAGTAGATGCTGGCACAAAAAAGATCCCTCACAGCTCAATGGCCCGAGTGCGGGGTATTAGGTCCAGCAAGTGGTGGCATCTCCATCTGAGTGAAAAATTCTTCAGGGACGTTAAACATATAATCAATCAATCTGATTTCTGAATCTTTGTATTACGGAAAGACAACTGTACAGGAAATCTTTGTAGTTATTTTTTTCCTGTCTGTATAAAAATATCAAAGGTACCGGTATGTATCTGTGTATATCTGATATGTGAAAACGGCCCAAAAAAGCCTCTGTCTTCGGCTGCCAAATGTCTGAAAATGATTTTAAACATGTTAAAACTTCCAAAACTCTGTGTGTATGTGGACTGTTACATAAACAGGCACGTAGTATCAGGGGGGGCCAGGGGGGGCCTGGCCCCCACACTTTTTCTCCCGACATTACCTTTACTATAGAAAATGTCTACTGAAAGGAAGGTTGGCCCCCCACATTTCAGCACAGTGCAGTGTTATAAAGAAAATTTACCCTAAAAAGTTTGAATTGAAAGGTAGTTGGTCTTGAAAAAAGTTGGCCACTACCCCCCCCCCCCCCCCCCCCCCCCCCCCCGAAATAGGATTTTCGACTTTGGGCAACTTTTAAAATTTTTTTTTTGGTTTTTTTTTTGGTTTTTTTTTTTGCATGTCAACTTTTTCAGGTAAGTAAAAAAAAATTTTCTCAGGTTGGCCCCCCCACTTTCAAAAACGATGCTACGTGCCTGATAAAATAATATTGAATCCCACATTGACAAAGTCCAGTTCAAAGCAAACTTAAATTTAGAGACATGGATTTTCTTAAAAGTCAGAAAAAAGTATTTTAATGAAGAATATAAATAAACTCTCAAAAAATGGAGATCAACCCTCTTGTTTTACTTTGGCCCCTTCACTTGATTTTTTTTTTTTTTGCCTTGCATATCATACATTTATACCAGTAAGTATGCCCAGTCGAAAATTTCACATTATTTCCACAAGAACAAGTATTCAAATCCTCACAAAAATATGCAACACTGACGATATCCACCGGGTTTTCATGGTAGTGACGGTACATTCACAATAAAATGAAAATCTGATTTAAAACCCCAAGAGTTGTCTCATATTCCACTTCGGATTGACACATCGGATATCCTGGTTGCATTACACAGGTATAAAGAGAGGTAACCTATATTTCACTTCTAGATCCACCCCTGCTTGCCACTCAATAAAAAAAAACATGAACAAAATCTCCCCTACATTTAAAGACTTACAAATCCCATGACCTTTCAACTAAAGTTTTTCAAACGACATTCAGACAAGTGAAGAATTTCCATTTATAGTCCTACAGATAGAAAACTGAGCCGAGTCGGTGAGTGCTGCGAACACAGTGACACCTCTTGTTCCTCGCTTTACATTGCTGATAAAACCATGCCCTGCACGACCTGCAACTGCAAGTGTGAGCATTGATTAACCTACGTTTAATTGCGTTTTTCCTTCGTTTTCCTTCCTTGAGTACTTTCTTCTTCGTCACTCATTCCACTTTTCGAGCAGAAGATGGTAGAAGTGCGGGAAAATGGTGACCAATGAAATTATCGAAAAATAAATCATAAACCTGGACGCACAGAGTGTAATTCTCCGGATAGTCTGGTCCGATTTTTAGAAAAAAATACTTCTGATGGCAAATAATTCTTATTTGGTCCAACATAGTTTTTTAGCCTAATTCGAGTATGCTGAATCCGAAAAAATATGCTGGCCTTCATGAAAATGGCGTTAAAGAGGTCAAAATGGCGATTCAAAATGGTGGACATCCAATTTTTCTAATTTTCTCTCAATATCGTTAAAAAAGAAGAAATAATGTGTGAATATCTTACTGAGTGTAATACAAGTATAAAAATGATAATAGAATGCTAACATTATTAGTTTTACTCAGAAAATTTAGCCGTTTTTACACTTAATTCGAATTTTCTCTGATTTATTTGTCTATTGTTTCTTTATTCTTCTTTGTTCAGGATTTTACATTTGCAAATATCCATACACTGCAAATTTGTATTTTTTCCTCTACATCTCACTATTCTACAATTGAATAATGGTGCAGCTGTAAGTTAAAAGTCAAAATGGCGATTCAAAATGGCGGATATTCCTTTTTTTCAAATTATTTCTTAATGTCGTTTACATAGGAGAAATGATTTGTGAATATCTTACTGAGCGAGTACAATTAACTAATGTAAAATTCCAGTAGAACACTAATATGAACACTTTAAAACGGAAAATTTAATCTTTTAAGTTTAAATGTGTTAATTAGCTCAAAACTCAAAATGACGTCATATTCACTCGAATTTCGTAAAATACTCAAACTGCTTGATTTTGAAAATAAATTACACTTTGTTTTTTTTATATATAATTATAGTATATTGATTATTCCATTAAATATGAACAAAAAAAAATATCAGAAAAGATTCTTTTTTTCTGGAAATAGTTAAAACAAACTCGACTTAAGAGTTTCCAAATTTTCCCCCTCGTATTTGACCGTGTTCCAAAGCCTTTGAGCCCCCGTCCACCTAAAATCACCCCTGAATCCAGTCTTTATCAACTCGCATTTCTACCTCAACATCCCTCAGCACACCATCAAATATATTTGAGGAAATTCTTTTCCGATTTCATCGAATGCTTTTAAGCACTTATAAGAACTTAGTATTATCCCCTAACATCTATTTCAGCTTTATTTTATATGTTTCACTCTGTCTTCGGAATTTTGGTATTTTCAACACTCAAGTAAAAAGGTGCCCTGTGTCAAGGATGACAACCCACTTGGCACGTAAAAGATCTTTTCTCTGGAGTTCGAAAACGAGTAAGCTCACAGGGGGTCACTAGAGAACCAAAATCCTCCAAAAACCGATTATTCAAACTGATAGTCCGCCGAAACATGGCTGAAAAATAGCCGACTCGGCGTTAAACAATATACAGTCAATCAACACTCAAGGAACAATACATTTATGTTCAAATGTTAAAAGTCTATTTTGTTTTCCAAAACCTTACGCAAAATGAAGAAGAGGTACTGTGAGCAATTAGCTCACTAAATGATACCCTCGTCACCCATATGAATACACAGTGTCCATGTTTTGCTATGTGAAACCCAAAATATGTGTTGGATCAAAAAGTAAAAGAGGAGGTGCACAATGGCAATATGTAACAAAGATTCTGTGAAAGTTTATCAAATTTCATTCAGTAGTATGAGACGAGTTGCGGATAAGAGACGGGTACCCCAAAGCGTAAAAGACGGACGGACGGATATACCGACTACTCTATACCCTCCCGCTTTTCAATTGGAAGGGGGGGGGTAAAAAAATATCTGATATTCAAGACATGTAGCTGTTTATTTCATGACCGCGTATAGATTTGTTTTCTTTTAGGGTAGAAAGGTCATTCTATTAGCAAAAAAATTCTCAAACTTCATCATGTGGAATCACATTGTGTGCATATTTTGGTGAGAAAAGTTGTAAAATTATGCAATTTAATAGCGCCTGCAGATTCCTCGTGATTCCTATCACTTACAAGCTTTCGTGCCAATAGGCCTAAGCCATTCTTGACTTCGATCTAGTCAACACTTCTCTTGACAACAAAATTTTCTTGAACACTCCAAGAACTTTACAAGGCAACTTGATCCACACTTCTTCGTTAGGATAGTGTAAAGTTGTATCAAGAATCGAGGGAGGATTGAACACAAACATTTTCTTCTTTCAGATTTTGTAAATTTCAAGTAAATTTCAAAATTTTTAAATTTATATACACTGTTCAATACAAAATTGGTGGAGGAGGACCGTTCACACCATGAAATATTTGAGAATGCAGTTGAATTTTTGACTGAGAATAACAAAATGCAAATGTAGGGACAGAGAATCAGAGCTGGACAATCAAAAAAATTTATGATTTACGTATATTATACTGATAATTCTTAATAGTTTATGTTTGGATATTATAATATATTCAGATTTATATGATGTAACAATTACTAGCCCTCTAATTGCTTGTGGTTCATCATTTAAAAAATCATACTAAGTTATGTTGCACTAGATCTTCCACATGAACATAAACATTTTTTTCTACACTGTACTAAAATTAGATCAAGGATTTCCAACAACTTATATGATTTAGCAACCCTCGAACTACAATGTTCACTCGCCTTAATGCTCGGTGAATACTGCTTCTGGGGTAGCTTAATTTTCAAATTGTCCTCAAAACAGCAATTATTGTATGATATTATTAACTTTTTATATGAAGAAGCATGAAACATGTATGACGGATAATAGGAGAAATGTCTTCGGAATTGTCGTCAAAAATTTATCTTAATAATAGAAGTAATTAAACAAATCCGTTTTATAAAAATCCTGAGTCATTAATGAAAATATCCATTAACTTTCATTACATATTTGAACATTATTTCATGAATAAAGAAAAACCTGTTATTTATTTTCTGCAAAACAAATCAGAATTAAGCAGTTTAGGTATTTTACGAAATCAAGTGTATAAAACGTCATTCGAATTGCCATTTTGAGCTAAATAACACATTTTAAATTTAAACGACTAAATTTTTCGATTTGAAGTTATCATACTAGTGTTCTATTGGAATTTTACGTAGTTGTACATCGCTCAATAAGACATTCACAAATCCTTTCTCCTATGTAAACGACATTAAGAAATAATTTGAAAAAAAGGAATATCCGCCATTTTGAATCGCCATTTTGACTTTTAACTTACAGCTGCACCATTATTCAATTGTAGAATAGTGAGATGTAGAGGAAAAAAAACAAATTTGCAGTGTATGGATATTTGCAAATGTAAAATCCTAAACAAAGAAGAATAAAGAAACAATAGACAAATAAATCAGAGAAAATTCGAATTAAGTGTAAAAACGGCTAAATTTTCTGAGTAAAACTAATAATGTTAGCATTCTATTATCATTTTTATACTTGTATTACACTCAGTAAGATATTCACACATTATTTCTCCTTTTTTAACGATATTGAGAGAAAATTAGAAAAATTGGATGTCCGCCATTTTGAATCGCCATTTTGACCTCTTTAACGCCATTTTCATGAAGGCCAGCATATTTTTTCGGATTCAGCATACTCGAATTAGGCCAAAAAACTATGCTGGACCAAATAATAATTATTTGCCGTTAGAAGTATTTTCCAGCCTTCTTTTTAAAAATCAGGACCAGACTAGGATAAACAAAACGTGAATCGTGCCGCTGCGACCAATATTAGATAATCTTTTAAATTTCAAATAATCATCTGCAATTTTACACCAGGGATAACCAAAAAATAATAATAACAACAACAACAAACAAATAAAAAAAAAATACATAAACAGTTTATGAAGATGTTACAAAAAGGAAAACCAAGCACAAAATTGTTCTGATTTATATTATCATTATGTGTTAATCAGTTAATGGCAAAGTACAGACTTCATTCTAATATAGAAGACACTATTCATCCACATTTTGATTAAAATCACGAAACCTACCAAAAATTCAATAATCTCTTCTTTTGTCATCTTTCGGTTGTGATCATGGTGATTTTGCTCAGATCCAGAACTCATCTTGCTGCAAGTGAGCGTGCCTTGACCCTCTGACCGACCTCACGCAGCTCGGATAGCTGATAAAAAAAATTCCTCCTGGGGCGGGGATAATCAATAATCAACGAATCATAAAGCTTTGAATCTGACACTTGTTAAAATCCACACAGCGGGAAGTGGATCCCTGGGTAGGAATCGAGAAGCGATGATTTAGTGCTGTTACTTCTCTGATTATATAGGTGTTTATCACTGTATATGCCCCCTGGCTAAGATTTTACGCTTATATTGGATAATTATAAAATTTACAACTTTCCCAGAAATAAAAACAGTGGAGAAAGTTCATTGTTGAAAAGCCGTTCATTATTATATATGCCGAAATAATGGAATTACCGCTTTACTGGATTTTGACACATGTTGTATAATTGAATAATCTCCTAGATGTTAATTCATAGAAACTATTAAGAGGGACCAGAACAGTTGTTTCCGATGCCTTGTAAAAACTTGAAGCGATAAACCACATTGTTCTCAATTGTATCTATTTACTTTAGGTGAGAACGTTTGTTTTTACAGTCGTCTTTATGACTTTCAAAAATTATTCTTCTTGGAATTCCATTCTGTTTACCGCTTCTTTACATGTTTGTGTTAAAAGGATTACTCGAGAGCAATTAAGATAAAAGTCATGATAATTCAAGAAGATAAGAATTACTTTCTAAAAATACTAACAAGTCCATAGCCAAGTGTAAGATTTCTCCTATAAATATGTAAAGTTGAAAAAAAAATCTGATCACCTTGGTTTTTATAACATCCTTACATACGATTGATATGTCTAGTAATTTTGTAAAAAATGTCGTGACATTGATGGATATATGTATATATATTTTTAATTATGAAATATTTAAAAATTATCTGTCGATTTTTTTCAATGTGAAAATGATTAATTTAAAGCATAAAATTAAAGTTTACAGCTTAACTTTAATTTTTGTATTTCAATTAATGTTCAATAAAGTAATTCAAAACATGAAAGGTATCTTATTGCTCACTTTTTGTCTTTCTTCTTATGGATGCATGGTGTGCATATTTGTAGAATGATAGGTAAAAAGGGGTTTATACAAAAATCTTTCTTAAACACCCCAACTTATTTTAAAGTCGGATTTAATCGGTCAAAAGTTCCTTGACTAATTTTAAGCCAACGTAAGAATTAAAAGTCAGTATGGCGTATAGCTAGGTTTATTCCCACTTACCCAACAAAATACCTAGGTATGTTTTCAAAATATTGGCTAAATGGGATTTCAATTACAAATCATGCTCAACTTCAGATTTATGTCCCAGAATCATAAAATGACACGTTGCATAATAATGTACATGCATTTTGTAATCAATTTTGTTTTAGTACAACCACGAAGAAGTCTTTAATATAGTCCTATATCAATGTTCCTTGGTCGCATATTGCGTCAGCAGTATCTGTCGGGGGCACTTTCTTGTCAAGTCCTGGAATTAGTTTCACCAGATCGTCAACCTTGGGATACCTCTTTAAAAATAACGTAATGCAGAGGACTGCAGCCACTTGTGAGGACAAGTAAGAGATTGTGAGTACGTAAGCGGACCAGCCATAGCGGTATTCGAAATGTAAATCTTCCTTCTCTGGGTCTGCATAATGGACACCATCGTTAACGTATGTAATGTACAACACAATCCCAACCGCCGTGGACAGGCCTACAAAGTGAAGTTTTCATTAGAGATCAGCAACTGTATACAACAGCATTAAAACACTAGTACATGTATTCAGCAAAATTGTTCAGCGTCACTACATAAAGTTTAAAATCTAAAAATGATAAAGACGCTTACAACAAGAGGCCCCTCAAGAAATGTATAAGCCCTGCTGCTTTTTTAGAAGACGATTGTTATAAAATATTTTTTCCTTATTTATTTACATTGAAAAATTGATTGTGGCCCCTTCCTAGGTCTAAGGTCATGTCTTAACCATACCTTGGACCGTGAATCTTCAATATTACTAACATGTTTTATTGACATTAAACACAAACATACATACACATACACAGACACACCAAGGCTGGGAGAGTTGACATTTTGGAATATCATGAAAAAACAAAAAAATATTAATACACAAATATGATACAATAGATGATATTATATCTTGATGTTTATGTTTTCAAATATATGGTTCCAGTCATTCCATCTTCTTTTATACACATGAAGTTCATTGTTAAACTTATATACAGTTTTCCTTCAAATTTATAATAAATACATATAAGTATTTAATGGCAATATGTCATTCAATATGACTAACATACTCTTGTTCTGGGGAATACAAATTTATGTATTGTGAAAAATCTGATCTTCAGTTTTTGATAACTCCAGCTTCCACTGTTTGAAAAAAAATGTATCCATGCAACCTGATAATACTTGCATGTTTACTCGGTATTTATCGTGGCTCTACTACTTTTGAATTTCAAACAGATCTAGAAATCATGAAAAAAGTGAAATATCTATATATGTATTCTACGTAAGATTTTAAAAGATATTTTTCGTTATATTCCAAAGTAAAATAAATCTGAATCCTTTTAGTATTGTGGCAAGTTTAGTTGAAAAGCCCAAAGCTTCTAGAGACGAAGTCGAAAAAAGTTTTTCAAAAAATACAGACGGACGGAAAGAAATAACGACGGCGGAATTTTTTTTTTAAAAGTTGCGGGTCAACACTAAGCCATAATTGTATGAAAAGATATTACATGTTGTGTGGATTCAAGTTTTTTCAAATTTTGTACACTCGCGGTAGTAATATCCAGGATTAAATTCTACACATAGCATAAAACAGATTTTTAAAAAACATTCCAAAAACATTTCATAGAACGCCATCATATTCAGAATTCACATGTAAAGTTTGGTTGAAATTGGTCGAGCAGTTCTAGAGAAGAAATGAAACTGTGAAAAGTTCATGACGACACCGACGCCGACTACAATAACGACAGAAAACGGACAATTTTTGCCCCAAAACATAGACATAGGTTTCTAGATATCAGTGAAAATCTCAATGGATTTGCTTTGCAGTGGAATTTGCAGCCCGAATTTGACATGTGTCAAAAATATATTCAAATCTGTTATGAACTATATTTTAATGATTTCATTTAAATGTTGAAATCATGATAGATGTCAAACTTGAGGCTGCTTATACCTGCGATGATGTAAATGATTCCTGCGATGAGCGTCCTACTGTTTTGTTTGACCACACCCACAACGTGAAAAATGGCGGCCAATAGCATCAAGCATAGATTTACCACAAAGAAAGGCGCGGTATTCCTTTGAGACTCTAAAATATGAAAAAAATCAAATGTTTATCTCTTGAAATAGTTTAACAACCGAAGTAAATTTGAATTACTATATTTAATATTTATATTGGATTCACAAACTTCATAAAAATCCTTAAAAACAAAGATACATGATGGGTTCCTGTATATGTTCAACCAAGCCTCTTTCTTTACATCTCACTAAGGTATTATCAGTAGTGAATGAGAAACTTCAAGACTACTATGCAACAGTGCAATAATATACTCAAGAAGTGGTGTAAATCAGATGTGGATACTTAAAAATTCTGAGGAACTTGTGGAAAATTTGAAATCAAAAGACTTAACCAAACTCAACAGCATACGACTTTTTAACTTTATACATAGCCTTCCCAACGATAAAATCAAGTCAAGGCTTTTTGATATCATATAGACAGCTGCTTTTTTCATTTAAAATAAAATAAATTTATTTACCTTGTCACTGATTATTTGCAAAATTAATTTGTTAAAAAAACTTCCTTATTGTACACACAATAACTCTGAAGTCGACATTGAAAAGATGCTTGAGTTTCCGATTGACAATATATATGTGGTTTGTGGAGACCGGTCTATTGGACTCCCCATAGGTACCAGTTGCGAATCTTTGTTAGTAGTCTTATTCTTGTATTCATATGGAGCAGATTTGTCAAAAATTCTATGCGTGAAAAGAAGAAACACTTGCTGTGGCCTTCAACTCGACATTTAGATATATCGACGGCGTATTATCAATCATCAATGGTTTCCATTCTTATGTCGACACGATATATCCCAGTGAGCTTAAGAAAAATATACAACGGAGTTTGACATGTTTCATATTCGGATATTTTACTTGAACGAGGCAATAATGCCAATCTAACAACAAAGCTTAATGATAAACGTTATCAACTTAACTTTTCAATCATCAACTTCCTTTACTTATGCCGCAATGTACCTTTATCACCTGCATGCGGGTTTATATCTCTCAGCTGAATCGATACGCAAGAACATACTCTATGTATATGACTATTTTCTAAGAGAGGTATAATACTGACAAACAAGTTGATGAAACAAGAATAGAGCATGTCTTGTTTAAAGTCATCATTTCGTAAGTTCTACGGTGGATACAATGACTTTGTCAGCAAATACCAATTGATATTTGAGCCAAATGCTGACCGACGTTTTTCATACAAATTGTTCGGCCATTATTTACACTAAATTGTTGACGGGTTTTCCCATTATTTCCTGATCATGTCAAAGAGCTTATGGCAAGTGTGACCAGTCGGTAGGGGATGCTCTCTCCTCCATGACACCTGGTCCCACCTCTGATTTGGAGGTCCGTGTTTGCTCTGCTCCTATTTTGTATTGTTTGATGGACTTTTGAACTTGAATACTGTTCGTTATCCCCATATATTTAATTCAAATACTAACCAAATGAATGGAATGATCTTTCAAAAATATATCTGATTACTTAATCTTAGCACAAAGAAATATCTTTTTATATTCTAAATAAACCAAATGAAAATTTTATAAATTCATAATCCTTGAATAATAATCGCCTTGTACCTAATTTATAAACTAAATACGAGTCAAATGGAATAAGACACCAAACATTAATTACCAGCTATTTTAAATGTTGTCTCTTGCTTTGATTTGTCCTCAGAGGATGTCGATTCGTACTCGAACAAACTCTGACAAATCACATTAGGAGCCGTGTCATTCCAGTCTGTGGAGGGAGAAAAAAGCAGCGTTTTACAATGTTACCATATATGTGTAGTATTTTTATTGAAATCTCAAACAATTAGTTTCTTCTGATAAAATATGAATGTGCAAGGATAGTCCATGCACATATTGTCTCAATTACAGGTATTCGTCGTTACCA